AAAATGCAGCTTAGCAAAGTCAGCTGGGTTAGTTCAAAAAGCACTGGGCAGAGTCAAAGGACTGAGGCTCCACCAAGAATCAGCTCGACTTCTCTGGTCTGCGTTTCTTTATCCTCAAAAGGAAAAGCTGAACTTTGCATTCCTTTGTGGTTCTCATATTTTATTACTGTAACTGCATATTGGAAGTTTGTTGCTGCTTTGAAAAACAGCACCATAATACCCAACACTTGGGATGTCCTTCAAAGCCTACTTTCTACTTTAGACAATTTTTTCATCATGCTTGACTTCAGCATTATTTTGAGTTTAATAGAATCATACAATATTGAAGGGACCATTGAGATTCTCTTCCCAATCCCTTGTCTCACAGTTAAGAAAACTAAGGCTCAGGGAGCTTGTGACTTGCCTACAGGTTCAGGGCTGGTATTGCCCTAGCAGGGCTAGAATCAAGTTCTCCTGATTCACAAGTTAGAGCTCCTCTTCTTTCCTCATCAGTTCTCTTATTTTATCCTATAGTTTTATAAGCTTATAGTTTCACCTAAGAATAGCCAAAAGGAGCACCCATCCAGTCATCACTGGTGCAGGGGTGAGGAAGGAGGGAGAATGGTGCCAGTGCATTGCTGAGATGTGAGGGTATTCTCTGAGGCTCAGGGATCTGTGTATATATAACTTACAGTAGAGGTTGGGCATCATTGCTACATTGGTCATTGATGGTGACTAAATTGCCCTCTGAAGGGGACTGCTGTCATTAATTTCAAAGCTTATGTTAATATTTCATAGAGTTGGGGCTACAATTGGGGAGGGGGTGAGTTCTGCCATGAAAAGGTTCTCCTTTTCTGGCTCTCGTCCCTACACAATGCTCAGATTCTCCTCTCAGAAACTGGCAAATAAAGGAAAACTCATAGAGTTCCTTTATGGCTTGTCCTAGCTCTGAAATACCCAATGTACACCCAATCAGTCAGGCGGGGTACGGAATGCTGTGTCAACCTCAGTTCTATTGCTAGCAATCATATGTAGCAGGAGACATTGCTTTGCAACCACCACACTCAGGTGGAAGGTGATTACATTTCACCTTCCCTACTTTACACAGAATCAATTTTGAGTAAATTGTTGACCTAAATATGAAAGGTAAAGCAATAAAAATTTCAAAAGAAAACAAAGGAGAAGATCTTTATATCCTTGGGGTGGAAAAAGCTTTCTTAAACAGGACATAAATTGAAAAACTGGACTGCACTGAAATCCCGAATTTCCAAAAGACTATTCAGACTATTCAAGTCACCAAATGGGAAAAAATATTTGCAAGATTTACATCTGTCAAAGACCTCATATGCAGAGTACATAAAGAACTTCTGCACATTGATAAAAAAAAAGTTGGACTCCTGAACAGAAACATGGGCAAAGAATTGAATGGGCACTTCACAGTACATCCAAATGGCCAATGCTAGGTACCATGTTAGGGGCATCACAAACATAGCCATGGACTGACATCGATGTGAATGCATTACAATGCACTGCCAGGCTTTTTAGTGAATGTAAGTCAGGGGGGAATGTGTCAGTTACAAACACAAAGTTTCGCTGCAGATAAGGAATAAATAAACAAGTATTTATTTATTCATGTGTATAATTATTTCTTACAAAATATCTTGGTAGAGAAAGTTGAACTCTTTTTAGAATAGCAAGTGGCATTTTAATCAAAAGACAGACTTGGAGGGGGAAGCAGATGAGGCAGTGGTTCTCTGGATGGATTAAAGAACAGGTGGTAAGTTATTGGTCACAAAAGGAATGTAACATTTTAATTTAAGGATCAATATTTTCAATTTGCCAGAAATTACCTTGTTTTTCAACCATTTAAAGTTATGATGAAAACATTGAGATGTCAACTTAATATTTGGGCAGGGGGTGTCTTAGTCCATTTGGAATGCCATAATAAAAGAACCTTAGACTAGGTGACTTATCATCAACAGAAATTTACTTCTTACAGTTCAAGAGGCTGTGGAGTACAAGATCAAGGCACCAGCAGATTCCGTGTCTATTGAGAACTCACTCTTTACTTCTTAGATGACGTCCTCTTGAGGTATCCTCAAATGGGGGATGGGGCAAACAAATTCTCTTAGGCGTCTTTTATAAGGACACTCATACCATTCATGAGGGCTCCATTGTCACGACCTAATCACCTCCCCAAAGCCCACACCTCTTAATACTATCACATTGGGCATTAGGTTTCAACATATGAATTTTGGAGGGCACAAACATTCACACCATAGCAGGGGAAGACAGAGTTTTTCAAAATTCTTTAGTGAGTTTATAATCAAAAAGTTGAAGACCATTGGCCCCAAAGTGTTCTAGAACACGGGGGCGGTGGCAGTAGAAGAGGTCCCACCACACTCCCCTGGGCTTCCAGGCTTTTAGAATCCATGAAAGGTTCATGGATTCAAAGGAGCTCATGGATTCAAAGGATTCAAAGGTTCAAAGGACCTTGCCCATGGTAGGTTCATCACAGTTGCTTTTTGCCTGACATATTAGTTCACCTTCCTCACTCACTGACACATTTTATTATAACTTGTAGCATTTATCAAATCGGTTGAGGACTCAGCTGTTCTCATTTTATGACTCATTACTCTATAGGGGTCAATTGTCCTTTATAAATCTACCCATTTTTTAAAACTCAAAGGAATCACAAATGAAAAGGCCAAATGTTAGAAGGTATATAGTAAAAAAGACAACGGAAAGCATAACACATTTACCATTTAAACTCATTCTTTGAGAAAGTGCCTTGAGGATGAGAGAATCACTTAATATTTACAATCTTAATTTTCCTCTTAAATGGCAAATTTCCCATTATCTAGCCTAAGTAGAGAATGGAACATTTGGATTAAACAGTTACTAAGTAATTATTATCATACTTACATATTAATTTTCAAAACATATCAAAGTCCACTTTATATTGTCCCATAATTACTTTTCTTTGGCAAACCAGAAGACACTTAAGGATTCTATACTTGGAATCTTCCTTATAAATGCAAATTACTATTGTTTTAGAGATATATGAAAATGTTCATCCAGATAAACAGAATGTCAGAAAAATTAGTTTTTACTGTGCTCAGAATGGAGACTGAAAAAAGGCTGGCAAATGCAACAAAAGACATATAAACCATACATGAAGTATTTACACCAAAATCAAGGAGCATTTAATAAGGTTTTGAATTTAAATGAATAAGATGAACTTCTCTTGGGCTTTTACAGTTCCAGTTTTAATGTCCTCAAATAGTTCTCTCAGTAATAAGTAGTTTTGCATATTTATAGAAAACTAAGAAGTAGTGAACAAATAAAATAGTTTAATTTCTTATGATTAAAGAATCAGGAAATTTTAGAGTTGGAAGAAACTTTAGAAGTTACTGATATGTAGAAAGAGAATGCCAGGCATAGCTATTTCTTCAAAATACAGCACTTGTAATTGATCCATCAGCAATTTGATGGATATAAGTCAGTGAGACTCTCACTCTGCACTAGGCGTACATTATCGTTATTCACTATATAGATGCTTAGAAATTGATGATACGGGCAATCCTCATTTTACTAGCAGGTTGCATTCCAAAATGTGCAGGTTGGCAATCTGGGATTTAGAGGCTAATTTGTCATGGAATCAATGTCCTAAGTGGAGGTTGGATTGCTTGGACAAGATGTGAAACCCATAAATGAATCATGCCCTGATGCTGTTAGAGCCCCACCCACCTTTTTTTACCTAATTACAGTTCAGGCTTCAATGTTGACTCCATGGTGTTGAAGTCACCAAGACCAGGGCTCAAATTGCAGCTCTGCCACACGCCAGCTGTGTGTCTTGGACACATTGACTTGTCTTTCTGTGCTTTTGTTTCTTCTCCCATGAAATGGTAATAATCATGCTCTTTTGAGGTTGCTAGAACTCCGAGGTGTTCCCCACTGAGTCCACTTTCCTGGTAGTCGTGGCTTTGTGTGGTGCCCTCCCACACAGAATATGGATGACTTGTGTAGCCAATAGGAGGGTAGAGAAATGACAGAACGTGACTTCTGAGGCTAGGTCATAAAACATATGGTGGCCTGTGCTCTCTTGGGTCTCTTAGGGGAAGCCAGCTGCCATGTTGTGAGGACAGTCAAGCAGCCCCACACTCAAATAGTCCATGTGGCAGGGAACTGAGATCTCCTGCCAACAGCCAGGCATGGAGGAAAGATCCATCAACCCTCGTTAATCCTTCTGATTACTGTAGTCTTGGCTGGCATCTTAACTACAACCTATGAGAGACTCTGAGCCACCAGCCAAGCCTGACAAATGGAAACTGTGTGAGAAAATAGATGGTTATTGTGTTAGGCTGCTACGTATTGGGGTAATTTGTCATGCAGCAATGGACAACTAATACATCCTTACATGCGTTAGATGATGTAAGGAATGTAGAGGACTTACTTAGCTTACTGTCTGGACAGAGAAAGCACAAAATAAATGGTGGCTGTTAGTACCATTATCCCATTGTTATCCCTTGAATGCTTGGTAGCTGATAGATTTCATTACCAGAAATAAAACAACCCTACGAGTCGTCAGTCATGACTGCACAGAAAGTATTGAGGAAGGCAGAAGACATTTCTTTTTTCTTCCCATTGGGTTTCCCTTTGACCCCACAGAGTGATGAGCCTCAATGGTACCCATAGTCCCTTTTGACTCTGGTCTCCCTCCTCTTCTCTTTCCTGCCCCACTGTCCTCTTCCCAGGGGCCTGACTCCATCCTGGGACACCAGGTGTCAGGGAGATGGAGATGGTGAGGTGATTCCCAATTTCATCATTAATCTTCCACTGCAGGGGGCATAACTTTGGTGCTTTATTATGCTAAAAACTTTTTCCCATTAGCTACAGACTTCTATCTGAAGGATGGGGCTTACTTAGCAACCCCTAGCTGTCATAGTATTATTATTCTAGTATTATAATAATATTTACCTTTCCATAATTATTCAATACACCATTTCCACCACACCCAATGAACAATCCTATTTTCGTAGATCCTTTTATTGCAGAGGGTGAGGGGAGAGTTGGTTTCCTGACACCATCTACAATTATTTGTCTGGACAGACTTCAGTAACCTTGAACTGGACACGGCTCCGAGCTCAGTGAGGTGTTATTTCAGGTGCTCCTGTGAAGTATTGATTCAGCTGGCACCTGAGGCTACCTATGAGTGCACCCCAAGGGCCACTCAGCCTATATTAATAGATTGGCTAAAGAGAAGCCATTTTACCTCAAGGATGCTTTCAGCTTGTTCTGTCTTAAAAGTTTAGAATTAACCTGATGCTTGCTTACACAGCTGCTGGGCACAAGATTAGAAAACGAACTTGAGGAAGAATAGATTAAGAGTCTGGAATAGGCCAACTGCAGACAGTTGATGACAAGATCAACCAGGCAACCTATTGTTCACTGATAACCATTGAACAAGTCATGATGATTTGTACAAAGTTTTCTTTCTGCCGTGTACCCCTTTCGGGGTACATAAGTTGCTCAGTAAGCACAGAAAGATGAGATGGTCTTTGAAACAACAGTCCACCATTTCCTCAGGCCACTGGCACTTGAATAAACCACCTTTCCTTCACCAACACTCGCCTCTTGTGCTTGGTTCTTGGGTGGCAGGCAGCCGAACCTGCATTTGGCAAAACACTGAGATAAATGGAAATCAAACATAAAATAATTATTCAGAGTTTGCATTTGTGTAGACATATTAAATTAGAGTCAATTAGCAATTGTGGTAAATGTTCCTCTTGTTATGAGGCATAATGAGAGAACTCCAGAGAATAGAAAGGATTCTTGAGAGTGCTTTTTTTTCTTTTTGTTTTCTTTTTATTGTTGAGAGTGTTGCTAATTCAAACACAAGGCTGAGAGTTTCACATGAAAAAAAAAACAGAAATGGAAATTTCCATTCCAGAAATGGAAATGGAAAACTATGACTATGAAACTATAGCCAAGAGTTCCAAGATAACTGAAATAATAACTAACATTTACCTGTATATCAGTGTTAGACCTATATCAATCTTTACTTACAATCCTGTGAGATCCTTTCATTTCCATCTTACAGATGAGGAAATTTATCAAAAACTTGCCAAAGGACACTCAGCTGGTGAAAAGCAGAACCAAATCTCTGATGTCTTTTCAATAATACTGTGAATCGCACTCTGGGAGGCCGAAATGGGAGGATCGTCTGAGCTCAGGAGTTCAAGACCAGCCTGAGCAAGAGTGAGACCTCATCTCTACTAAAAATAGAAAGAAAATATCTGTACAACTAAAAATATATAGAAAAAATTAGCCGGGCATGGTGGCACATGCCTGTAGTCCCAGCTACTCAGGAGGCTGAGGTGGAAGGATCCTCTGAGCCCAGGAGTTTGAGGTTGCTGTGAGCTAGGCTGATGCCATAGCGCTCTAGCCTGGGCAACAGAGTGAGACTCTGTCTCAAAACAAAAAAAATAATACTGAGGATCTTCACTTAGATTATAAGTTTTGGTTTATAAAAACATACAGGCTTTTAATAGAATTTTAAAAAATCAAGTACCTAGCTCTTTTTAAAAAAATAATAATAATAAATATATATAATATGAGATTTACCCTCTTAATAAATTTAAGTGCCCAACTCGTTGTTGTGCTACTTGATCTTCCCACAGTGTGAAGCATGACCAAGATTAGGGGCATTGAATAGCCATGAGTGTGAAACAAACTGGCCATCTGCCATGGAGTTCTTCATTCTCAAGATTCATGCCTCCTCTCAGTGAGGACCTAAATACCTTGGTGCTTTGTGTTACTAAAAAATATTTTTAAACTGTTAAATGAAATTTATGAGAGAGAATTTTGGACTAAGCAGCTCCACTAAGCCCCAGTAGAACAGATGAAACCAATATGGAGTCACTCATACTAAAGTTCCATATAACGAAACCAACACTAAGTTGTTTATCTGAACTTTTGAGAAGTCAAGAGCAATAAAAATCCCAAAACAAAATCCCCAAACTAGCCAGTTTTAGTCAGCATGATAAGAAAGTTCCCTCTGATTTAACCCTTACAAGAAAAATTACCTGATTTTAACCAGCCTTTTTTTTAAAATTTAAACTGTCCCTTGTTCCTGTTCAAGCTACCTTATAAAAACCAACTGTTCTGCTATGTCCAAGGGAGCATGCTTTCTCAGTCTTTAGATGAGATGCTGCCCAATTCATGAATCCCTAATCCAAGCTAATTAGATCTTTAAAATTGTGAACATGTGTTTTTTTAACAAAAAATCCAAGACAGTGTGAAAAAAACTGCTCCTAACTATTATTTCAGAATGTTCATTCCTTACTTTCAGGAACTATTAATTAAATAACTAAATAGTGTAGGGGAAGAAGAGTAGTTTTTCTCTCTGTCCTTCATAGTTTTCAGCTGGAACAGAAGACAGTTTAACCACTTCGGTACCAGCGTCGACTGTAGTCGATAGCCACAGACAAACACGCACAGCCGAGCATCGACTTTAGCCGACAGCCATGATATGACTTTTCTGATTTTTCATGTGTCAAAATAAAATTGTGAACACTTAAAAATAATGTGATGAAAACATATATGTTACCTATTCTGATTTACATTACGAGTAAAGCTGCCTGTAAAGTAAAACAAGCTCTCAGTGCTTTGAAGCTTTCCTCATCACACGAGAGCAAAACGGATTCATCGTCAATGCACAGCACAAGCTATCATGCGGACTGTGAGTGCCGGCTGTGGGCAAGGTTTCGTGGCTGGTGAGCACTGTACCGAAGTGGTTAACAAGAGGAAAACAAACAACTTAATAACATGCATGGGATGGAGCAGAGAGCCCTCTCAGGGGCCTGCTGGGGCCCCCAAGCATGGAAATAAAGGAAAATCTTGAGTTCCTTCAGAGAAACTCTGGGACCCTAGCAAGCCCTGATAAGTGCGTGGGCAACCTGATGAGCAGGAAGATAGTAATGACAGTGGCCCTACCAGCAAGCCAGAGTCATGAGGTATTTTCATTCCCTCCAGAATCTAAAACATAACATCTTAACATGTGCTCTTGAGTTGTTTTTCAGAAACCCCAACTGGATAGAAAATGCAGACAATGGGGAACTGGGCAATTGAACTCTGCCATTCTTTGTTCTAAACTTTTCTGAAGAGCCTGAAGAGAGTCATACCCATCTTAACATTCCTTTCCGATAATCAAAGAATCTCCAAATCCACCTATGACTTGCGAGCCCCCTCTTCAGGATAGCCTGCCTTTTTGGCCAGACTGATGTATAACCTCCATGTATTGATTTATGATTTTGCCTGCAACTTTTGCTTTCCAGAAATGTACCCCTGCCTTTAAAGACCCTTACCTGTAAGCCACCAGGTACTTTGGGTCTTAGGCATTAGTTGCCTATTCTTCTTGCACGGCAGCATGCGATTAAAACGCCTCTTTCAGGAGACAAGGGCAAGATGGCTGACTAGAGACATCGCTTACCAACCATTCCGGAGGGAAGGAAGGGCTTCAGACAAAGGAAAGGGGAGAAAGGACACAGCTGAGGTGTAGGTCAGAGAAAGAAGTACCGGAGCCTGCCAGGAACCTCATGGAGGAAAACTGCAAAGCAGAGAAGGATGAGGAAAAAGGAAAAAGGGATATCAGTGGGGACCAAACCCTGAGAAGATTGGAGCCCCTCCTTCCCACACTCCTTCAGTGATCAGCAGGCTACCAAATTACTTGGAAGCATTTCCACTCCCACAAGCCCAAGCACTATGGCAACCATGGAATTTGGGGGAGAACTTGTGTGATGCCAGAGCTCGGACATTCCGTGAGGGGTTCCCCTCCAAGGAGAGTGACCAGAGAGGCTGGAGAACTGGCTTTCTTTCATTCAGACTCTTATCCTCCTCTGCCCCTCCTCCACTCACTGCAAAGGAGAACAGTTTGGGCCAAGAATTCAGTGAGTAGCCACCTTTAAAGTGGCTGACACCAGCCCAGCTCTCCCAGAGCAGAAATTGCTCAACTCCAAGGTGAGCACCTCTCGCTGATCATAGAGCTAGACCTTTGTCCAGTCTTTATCAGTGAGTGAAACTTGCAGGGGAAAAGTGGATAATGGATCCCTGGACACACTGATGATGACCTGCAGCCCCTGCCACTGCTGGGGGTAGGGATGTGTGTGCATTGGGGTTGAGGGTGTCAATATGCCTTGGTTCAAATTCTGGGCTCAGTCTTCGGTAAGTATATGAAGTTTGGCAAATTGCTCCCATTCCTGAGAGCCAGGGATCCTCCAGTGTAGAAGTGTGGAAATGGGGTGGAGGATTATCTGCTCTGAGCTGCTGGGTCAGAGGTTATTCACAGGTTTTTCATTCATTCTTTGGACAAATGTCGTCAAGCACCCATCATGTTGGACAGATTCACCGCACAGTTAAGAGTCATCCAAGGTGCCTGGGAGGAAATGTAACTCAGGGCTTAGGGATGGTGTGAAATGGAGGCAGGAGACTTTAGCCCTTGGACCCTCTGCCCCACCCTGCAGGACAGTGAGCACAGTGAACGCACTGAACCCTGCACTTAGGGCTCATGTGTGCCCAAAGGGAGATTTGGGGGCCAGAGTTGAGCCCTCAGGGGAGATCTTGGGAAAATAGGCAGGCCCCTGTAGAGGTCCCCCCCACCCCAGAATACTGGTCTCCCCCTCAGAGGAAGCCATGTCACATGAGGGTTCCCACCTGCAACCAGCTCCCACCTGGGTGGCTCCTGTCCCAGGGATGCCCTGGCATTGGGAGAAGGTGGTTTTTACCAGCCAGCTGTGTCTGGGGAAAAACAAAGTCAGGCAAGGATTATGAGAAGACAGGAGGTTTTGGGTAGTATGGTTCTCTGAAAGTTTAAGGAGTAAACAGTCATTCAGTACTCATTATTTTGCTGTACTGGGTGGCAGTTTCTACAGATTTCAAACTCAAATGTGGGTTCCACTGGATTTAACTCTCGTTATCAATTAAAGCCATAAAAGGCATGTACCATCAGCCCTTGATAAATACATTTTTCCTCATTTAAAAATTAAAGTATACTTTATATATAGTAAAATGTACACTTTTCATGTATAGTGATGTGAGTGTAACAGCCACAACAGTCAGATATAAAATGATTCCCAAACCCTTGAAATTCCCTGGTGCTGCTCTTTTGTGGGCAGGGCCAGCTCTATAATTTGGGGGTCCCCATGCAAAATGCAGGAAAAAAAGGCAAAAAAAAAGGGCCATTAATAGTTTCAAAGTACAATGCTTTTCAAATATTTTCTACAGCCTGTTTTGACTTCTCCTGGTGTTTTTTATTTACTATATAGTGTTCTAAGAAAAACTAAAATTTTACATTATTGGCATAAATTTTATCACTGTGTAATGCCAGTTTTAAAGGCAAATATGTGTGTCCAACTGGTATGTGGAACCACTGAATCCATCCGTGTGTCATAGCTTGCACATGTACGGTGTTTGTTCCTACTAGAATGGTGGGGAGCTGCACAAAACTAACTCCATTGTTTTTATTTCACTCGATGCACACACCTTCTACGAACAACCTGTGGAAGCAGAAGGTTCTATGATTTCCTTGTACTTGCTTTGAGTCTCTGTGTATTCCTAAGCATCCTGGATCCAACATCTGTCTGTTGCTACCCCTGGGGGCCACTCTTGACAAATCCTTCTCTGTTTTATGGTGATTTAGTGCGTCTTTGTCTTTGACACCACTTCCACTTCGCTGACTGGTTACTTCCGACCTCAGCCCTGCCCCAGAGCACCATGCTTGGAGGGCCAGTGTGAAGTGTCAGCAAGAGCCTGAAGTCTAGAATTAGACTGTCTTGGGTTCCAATTCCAGTGGCTCATGTTCAGCTATGTGGCCATCAGCATGTTTTGTGCCTCAGTTTTCCTGTCTGCAAAAGGGGTAGAAATAATAGCCTCAACTGAAAGTTTTGTTTTAATTCTTTTGAAGAATGGCATACATAAGTGCATATATTGTAAGTATACAGTGGACACAGTTTCACAAATTGAACACACCCAATGAACCAGCATCCAGATCAAGAAACAGAATATTCCTAAGACTTCTCATTCCCCACCCCCTGCAGAACAGAGTTGCTTTGAGGATAAATGAGTTTTATTTGAAAAACTTTTAGAACAGTGCCTGGTGCATAGTAATTACTTTATCACAACCTGTTTTAAAAAATAAATTAATTAGAAAGGAACTGTTGGACTCGTGAAGCTCAGCTGCTTACTTCTTTTAGTGATAGCATGGCTGTCGTGCAAGTTTAGGCCCCTCTCTTCATATGGTGCAGCCAGCAGGACGAGTTAAGAGTCTTTCAAAATAATCAATTATTTCCTTATCCCAGAGGACCAGGTGGTGCTTTATATAGCTAATGGCTCCCATGGAATGCCAACAATTTTGCTTAGATGAGAAAAGCAATATGCAATCAGGCTGCTATCACCGCTTAACAAGGGCCAGATGCTGTCGTGCAAGGCAGCCAGGGTTGCCCTTGAGGAAGCAGCACAGCCTGGGCCTTGGATAACAGGGCCAGAAATCAGGGGTCTGGTGGGGAGGGGGAAGGTATGTCCTGAATGTGGCTTCGTTCATCGCCTACACACCCCATGAAATGCACAGGGAAAACTGGCCCAAGGAACGTTTCTATAGAAATGGCCAAAGTGAACTGAAGCAGTTAGACTAATTAGTACATTCATGACTAACTACACACAATACTTTAAAACTTATGAACAGAAGAAATGGTTACACCATTTATGGTAACTTATCATACTTTTATTTAACCTCAGAATACCTCTGTGCTCCTTCTCTTGTCTTTGTAACACAAGGACCAAAGTGGGGCTAGGGAGAATAAAGAAAAAGACAGTAACATCAGACAATAAAATTAAACCAAAGAATTTAAAAGGGGAAAAATAATGATTGCCAATATATTTTCTGGAACACATTGAATTATGAGAAAATAGTAATTACTCTGTTCTACTATTGCTTGGAGCCACCTATACAAAGGGAAAGCTAAAGACACAGGTTAGATGGCAGAAGAGGTTAAAGACAGTTCCTGATGGGCAGTTGTAGGGAGGAAGCAGTGCCTGGAGTTTTGGGGGCATCACGTTGTCTTGGAAGGCATCTTCTCTCGTATTTTGAAGGCAGAAGTCCCATACAGTAGTGACGTTAAGGAAAACAACCAAAAAAATGTTTCAGAAAATTTATAGCATTCTGTGCACTGCAAAGAAACTTCTAAAATTCTTAGAACCTACTTCTCTAAGCAAGGACAGTCCTTCTCTAAGCAAGGACCTACTTATTTCTCTAAGCAAGCAATTTTTTAAAAATTACTAAATAATTATGCTTCTGGAGTTGTAGGTCTGCAGTCCATCCCCTGGAAATCAAGGCAATTTTTATTAGGCTTAGAATCCTCTTTGGACATATCTCAGAGGCCAGAGCTGCTTCCAGGCTACAGAGTGCCATCGCCACACCTGGGTAGGGCCTGTGCGTGTGTCTTCTGGAGGAATGCAGAGTAGAGAAAGGCCAGATGGGGAAACAGCTGGGAATGTAATAGCTGCTCCAGCAATTTCTTCCGTTCAGCCACAAACAAGGTGAATGCAGTCCTCTTTACCTCACTTCATAGTTTTTTTAAATCAAGAAGAAATGTGACTTAGAAATATATCATGTTACTAGATGGCAATATTTAATATTGCAAGGATATCAACACTTCTCTTAATCTATCAGTTCACTGGAAGGTCAATCAAAATTTCATTGACATTAACAGATTTGTTTTAAATTAAAGATATTTTCCAAAAGAATAAATAAAGAAAAAGAAGAAATGTGACTGTGACAGGGTGTGTGTATTTATGGGAGAGAAGGAGCTAGAGACAGTGCTTCATTAAATCCCTGTGTGTGTCTAAATTTTAATAACTTGGGTTTATAATCTCAATGGAAAGAATCCATATATAACATTAAAAAATAATTTTATGAAAATTACGACAGTCACCTTTTACTGTACATGAGGCACTCTAGGTTCAGACCTTGTGCAAATAGACAGTGGCTACTGTGGGCAGGAGGGAAGTTTGTGTCATACAGCTAGTGGAACTGAAGTCTTTATTGGTGTAATGAAGATGAATCCCAGACTGTTTCTATTGTGGCTGCATTCTAAATTTCTAAGTGAGCAAAATATTAAACCATTAGGCTGTTAAACATGTAAAATTCCACAATAATTTTATGAATTCTTTGTATGAGTCCACTAATTTTTCCAGGTTTCTGATGTGATGTATTCAGTTTGGGTTAGAGTATTTCTTTTACCTCCTAGGTATTAGGCTCCTAAAAGGTAAATAGGTGAAAGTATTGTTTATAAGGATTTGTAAGGCTATGAGGACAGTGGCTGGACTCAGTTCAAATGGTGAATTGGTGAACATAGGTTTCAAAGTCTGACTGCGTTCATGTAATCAACCAGTATTCTTTCCTAATAGAGTGAAAAATGACCTTCTACTACTGATGAGGCACAATGAAAAACAGCTTAAACAGTCCTGAGTCTTCCCCTAGGAAGAGCTATTCAGCCACATGCAGGTCCTCATCAGAGGTAGATTAAAGATGGCAGCAAATTCTTCTAATACCCCTCCCACTGAGAGGTGGCTGCCAACTCCCTTCCCCTTGATTTTGAGCTGGACTTGGTAATTTGATTGTTAAAAAGAATGCAGTGAATGAAGTCAGGTTTGGGACTCCTAAAACCAGATAATGGGAAAGCTT